AAGGTTACTATTTTCTGTCAATGATCTGTTGCCTTTTGATTAAAGACCAGTGATAGAAACAGCCTAGAATCAAAAGTAGTAATGATTTCATTTTTGAGTTGTGGAAGTATTTGGTGCTATTTTTTAGTTTTTGAAGAAACAAATTTGATTTATTTCCTTTGTGGCTCGGGCCTAAATTCCTTTAGGTTTTCAAATATTTTATGAATTGAAATCATCTACAATGGCCAACCAGAGAACTTAAAATGCAAAGTTTTATGTGTGTGTGTATTATTTTTTTAGCCAACAACTGCTAACTTGGATTAAAGTATTTTCTTTAAAAAACAAAACAAAACTGTGTACGTGATACTGTTAGTGCTTTCACTGTAATAGTGTGGTACCGACCCTGTTACATCAGCTGTTTTACTTTTTCTTCCATGCTATCTTTGCCTATGTGCATAATTTTTTTTTCTCTTTTGAAAGAATCTATGAGTTAATAAACTTTTATAATTGAATGATTAGCACACTATGTCCTTGGATCTTGGCATAGCTATTTATTGGTTATCACTGATTTATGTTTGCTGTTAAAGAACAAAAAAGACTCTCATGCCTTTTAGTTTCCTTGCATGGTAGACAGGTTGTGGAAGGAGAATGTTGATCAGAAATGCAGTGTTTGAGGCTGTTATACATTAACAAAGTAACTGTCATTTTGGTGTCTTTCCTATCAATCTGACTAATGATTGTTTTTACACTTATGAATTCCTTAGAACACCTGTTTTTCTGGAAGAAGAAAATGTTTGACTTTTCATGACAGATGCAAATTATCTACATCATTTTAAATTGAGTTGAGGTAAAATAGGAAAAAATAGTGCCTGAGAAGTGACTAAATATGTACTTCTGGTGAAATGCCCTTATTTCACCAAGCGAAGTATGAAAGCACTTATTTGACATATTCTTTATTCTTTGGTCAAGCCATAATTCTGTTCAAGGATGGTTCGATTCACAGAGGCAGTTTTACCTTTATTTTTCATCATGACCACTGACTTTCTTAAGTAGTCATTTTATTTCAAGTTTATTGTGTTGGTAACAATAGAATATCAAATTATTGGTGCTTAAACTAGAAATCCAGCAATCCTTTATAACTTTGTCCATAATAATTTCCTCCTTACACTCATTTCTTTTCTCTGAGTCTTTCCAAATGTTTCTGATTTGAACTGCATTTGTTTTTCTGTGTCTCTCCACTTCCAGTTGCTGCTAGCTCCTTCTACAGAGGTTACAACCTAGCACATAGCTTTCTAGTTATTATTTTGATCAAACGCTTTCCTTTCTTCATTCAGATTTCTGCAAAATTGGAGAAAAGGAAGGATGGGAATACTTTTTAGTATTAAGGGTTTTTTCTTTTTCCTTTTTTTCTTCTGAATACCATCTACAACTTATAGATGACGCATCCTGAAGCCAGGAATATGAAGCTTAAAACTGTGCTAGCCCAGAGGACTTTGCTGTAGTCTCAGGTAGTCCTCCTCTCTCAGTTGCAAAATATCTATTTTTTCATCTTCATTTTATTTATGCTTTTTGGCAGTTATTGGCAATTTCTCGGAGAATAAGAAAACAGTAAATTTACTATATACTAATGTTAGTCTGAAGATATTGAAGTATAAGACAAATGACCGATTGAGAATAGATCTTCAGTGGTACAACTCAGGTTGAACTTTGGTTCTGCCACTTATTAGCTTTGCGACCTTGGTCAAGTCAGTCAACCTTTTTAAATCTCAATTTTCTTATTTTAAAATTGTTCTTTGAATTAGATGACATATGAAAGGTGATTTGTAAAGTGCTCTGCAGATGTAATTTTTTGTAATCAGCTGCGTTTACATTTTGATATCTTTATTATAGTAAAGATAAGTAAAGAGAATTCAAACCCTGTTAACGCTCTCATCAATTTGAGTTCTCTCCCCTTTGCTTATTTTTTCTCTTCCAGCCACACTGACATCTTGCTGTTCCTCGAATGTGCCACTTAGCTTGTTGGTCTTCAGAGTTCCTAGCTTTATGCTGGAAGCTTCTGATCTGACCTCCTTTCTTTCTTGAGGCCCTGGCCTTTCTGATCTCTTCCTTGTGTAAGTGTCCATTAATATCCAGGCTATAGGCCATTAGGCAAGAAGTGATACCCTCAAGCAAATGTCTGTTTTAGAATTCTGGTTACTCTTCTCCTTTTGAACTCTCCTTGCATCTCAGTCCACCCCTCCTCTTTTTTTTTTTTTTTTTTTTTGATTTCACAAGGACTTCCTTGCCTCTGTTGCCAATTCAACCATTCATTAAAAATATATTTAATTCAGCATTTTTAGATCGCTTTTTTTTTTTGCCAGCCATTTTACCACAGCTCAGATTCTGATGAATTGTTATTAACTAGTGAAATCAGATTGTTGATTTCTCAGAACAATTTTTTCTCTTGGATTAAAGGATGGAAGACTCCATACAGGGGATCACATCTTGAAGATTGGTGGCACAAATGTGCAAGGAATGACCAGTGAGCAAGTTGCGCAGGTGCTGAGGAACTGTGGGAATTCAGTCAGGATGCTTGTTGCAAGAGATCCAACTGGTGAAATTTCTGTAACCCCTCCTACACCTACAGCCTTACCTGTTGCCCTGCCTGCTGAGCCCAACAGGAGCCCTAGTTCTGTGAGTATACAATTATTCTTTAATCTTAAATCAAATACTGGGTGTGATACACAGCAAGATTAGAAATGCCTTCAACTCATAGTGCCACATTGCTGTGAGTAGTGTCTCAGTGCTTACCAGTGAAGCAGCAGAAGAGCCCAACTTTGAACCATTAGACAAGTTTGATCTTCTTTGCTGTTTCTCAGGGTTAAGTCATTCAACCACTCTGAGCCTCAGCTACTCTTCTGTAAATTGGTGGATAATGATAATCCCTCTTTCTATTTCATTAGATTGGTGAGGAGACATCCAGATAGTGGAGTGGAAACTATAAAAACTGATTAATGTATGAAAGTTATCACTGTTAGGAGTAGATTAGCCAAAGGGAATAGACAATGATAATAATATTTATTATGATTAATAACAATCATTTTAGTTATATAATAATAATCATTATTAATTATTATCAAGCACCTGGATTTTCATGTCATATGCATTTCTCACAAGAATTCTGCAAGATAGGTCTTATCATCTATTGAACAGATGAGAAAACTGAAGTCCAAATAACTTGTTAAAGGTCACATAAAGAGTAGGTTGCAGAGCTGGGATATGAATTCGGATCTTTCTCATCTATTCCAAGCTTTTCAAACTATCTAACAGGCTTTGAATCAAGAGATAAGACAAAAGGAAAGAAATCCTTTTTAAAAGGAGGGACCAAGAGGAAGAAAAAAGGAAGAAGTGATTATGGGTGAGAAGGAGGTAGAGAGCCACCTTTCATCATCTGAGGGGTTATTAGGTGTCTTCTGCTTTTTTTCTCTGAGTAGAAGTTTTCTGTGTGAAATATTAGAATCATTTTTTTTTTTCTTCTCCAAACTAGTTGCAACCATTCTCCCCACCCCCTTACTCTAGTTATCTGGAGCCTTCTACTTTGTAGTGAGAGACCAGTGTCATATGTAATAAGCGAGAATTTGATGCAATCAATTGTTTACTTTCTATTAATGTTTTGAATTGAAAGCAAAATATTATGTTTTTCGATACCTTACTATTTTACAGAAATATTTTAAATTAGAAAACAAGTAATGAAAATAAGTTTTTGTTCATTATTTTTTGCTCACAATAGTTATTACAATAATTAGTCTTATAATATGTTTCTAATTTTTTTTTTTTTTTTTTACAATTAGTTATTTTGGATGGAAATTAATCCTGAGTTTTTACTAAGTGGCTATATTGGCTTTCTATTGTTGTGTAATAAATTACTACAAATTTAGGGCTTGAAACAATATCCTATGTTAGTTCACAGTTCTGTAGGTCAGAAATCTGGGTAGGCCTGGCTGGGCTCTCTGCTAGATTTTTACAAGGCCATAATCAAGATATTGGCCCGGCTGGGCTCATAATCTGGATACTCTGGACAATCCATTCATAAACTCAATCGAATTGTTGGCAGAATATAGTTCCTTGCAGTTGTAGGACTGAAGTCTCTCTGCTGGCTGTCAGCTAAGGAACATCTTTCAACTCCTTAAGCCCTACCCTGTCTCATATTTCTTCTCACATGACCCACTCCATCTTCAAACCACAAGTCCAGTCTTTATACTTCAAATCTTTTTCACTTGCCTTTCTCCCATCAGCAGGAGAAAAGTCCTTGCTTTTGAAGGGCACCTGATTAGATTAGGCTCACTTGGATAATCTCCCTTTTGCCAGGTAATGTGACATAAACACAACAATAGCACCAAGGATCAGAAAGTCATGGGGACCATCTTAAAATTCTGTCTTCCATAGGTGCTAAGAAATTGCTTGACAAAGCATGCACAAATTGATTATGTAGACAGAGTTATGTAACTAAAATTATTTTTCTCTTTTAGGACAGTTCTACCCTTTTTGAAACTTATGATGTTGAACTCATTAAAAAAGATGGACAGAGTCTTGGGATTAGAATTGTTGGCTATGTTGGAACTGCTCATACAGGTGAATGAATCATTTCTACTTTATATTTGGAAATAATCGTAAAAGATGTTAAGGTTTCTAGACAGTAAATTTAAATATCTGTTGATTTTAATTTAAACGTTGAACAATAAAACCATGAATCCATAATAGCAACTAGTACTTTTCAGTAATTTGAGAATCACAGTTTAACCCATTTCCCGTTTACCCTGAGATAACTCGTGGATAACAGTCCTAACCTTACCCCCAAAGTTTGCCACAAAATATCTCGCTTTTATTATTTTCACATCGCTCTAGTATACTGATAGTCTTTGGAAACAAATGACATCATTCTATTTATAGCATTCTGTTTTTAGTGGTGATATTTCCATTTATAGAATATAGTAATTCTCGATCGCTGAAAATGTCAAATCCTATTAAACATAGGATTCCTACGCATGATGTTAAATCAACGCTGGCAGTGAGGTTCATTTTTTTTTCCTATATGGGAAAAAGGTTAAAAAGGGTTCCCAGACCAAATTCCAAAAAGAAATTCTCAGAACCCAGCAAAATGTCAAAGAATTCAACTCAGTTCTGGCACTATCTACCCAAAGATAGAATCAGATTCTCAGGTAAAAGTCTCAGTCTCACAATACCGCCTCCACTTTAGACACCAGTTTCAAGCCCAGGGTGGTACCTGTACTTCTGGCTATAAATCAGACGTTCCCATGACACCCTCCTTGAGTTTGATTAATTTGCTAGAATGGCTCAGAGAACTCAGAAAAACCAATTTACTCACTAGATGACCAATTTCTTACAAAGGATATTAAAGGATACAAATCAAAAGCCAGATGAAGAGATATGTGGGGCGGGGCCCTGAATGAAGGAGCTTCTGTCTTCGTGGAGCTTGGGGCCCAGCATGGTGGCACCTGGAAGCATTCTGTTTCCTAAAAAAAGCAGGAAAGCTCTCCGAAAAAGGACCAGCAGAGCTATCCTTCTGGGGATTTATGGCGACTTAATTACATAGTCATGATTGATGAAGTCACTGGCCATTGGCAGTTGAACTCAATATCCAGCCCCTCCACCCTTTCAGTTTATGACTGAAAGTTCCAAACCTCTGATCACAGGGTTGGTTTCTCTGACAACCAGCCCTCATCCCTAGGTGCTTGCCAAAAGTCATCTCATTAAGATAACAAAAGGACGTCATCACTCTCAACACTTAGGAAATTCCAAGGGTTTTGGGAACTATGAGCCAGGAACTGTGGATGGAGACCAAACATAAGTCACAGTATTACACAATTTTATCTCAATAGTTTTATAGCTGGCTTGATAGTCATTAACGACAGAATTTAATTACCCAACAGTATATAATATTTGAATTGTATCTCTTCTTGTTTCTAAGATAGATATATTTTGAATAGTGTGACTGTTACATATTTTGACATTTTACATGTGATAAAGTAAAATGATTACTGCATGTATTTCATATTGTGAATGTCAAAAAAGTATTACTATTATGTGTAATTCCTGGAAAAAATAAGATAAAACAAATTAATTAGGATTACTTTCCTTTCATATAAGGGAAATATATTGTAAGAATAAATACATGGTCCAAGTATCTCTGAATAATAATACTCCTTCAACTCATACATGTAAAGGTTTGATACCTTTCTCTGTAAAAGTTGCTCCATTATTATAAGAAAATTATTAGAGTAGGGAAAATAAATCTTTTCACAGTATTTGCTAGTAACATGAAAATTTAGAATTATGACATGTTCTAGCTTTTTATAAAATAGTGAGATTAGAGAGTTAATTTTTAAAAAATTATTATTTTATATACTTACAGCAGGTGGAAAGATTAAAAGTGCTAATGTATTCAAAGTCCTGAATGAAATTCATGTCAGACCACCTCGTGCTATTTTAGCCTAATGAAATAACTGTTTTCAAACCTTTAGCTTTTTCTAAGTGCCACCTTTTTTAGGCTCAGAATTTAAATGAGTTTCAAAAGAGCTAAGTATGGATTGTATAATAATGTCACAAAAAACTATATTGAGTAGCTCTTAATAGGCTGTCTGGTTAATATGCGAAATCATGGCTGAGTTCCTAAACTTATGGCTCATGAACCTTTATTATATGAAGTTTTCAAGGTGTTCTTTAAACCTAACAGTATACATGCGGAGTAAAATGAAAGTCCAGAATTGATAGAAAATGAATAAAATTTAATGTTTATATTACTGAATAAAGAAAAGAATCATTTTACTTCTTTACCCTCAAAAGTGATTTTTAGGACTAGAGGTGGGTGGGCAGCGGTGAATCCAAAAACTAGATAGAACATTTTATTTTAGAAAACTCAATATGCTTTTTAACATGTAGTCTTTCAAAATGATTTTCACTTTATTTTATTCATTGGAACTTTTGAGCAGTTACTTTCTTAGTTCTGGAAGGGGTAGGAAAATGAATATAAGAAAAGTCTATGCAGGGAGACAAACATGTAAAGAACACTCAGTTGTTCAAGCATAAATGAAATATGTGTTTTAGCAGAGACGCAAGCACACTATCATGGCGGATGACAATTTGACAAGGAAATGGAAAATTTACAAAGAAAGAGTCATTTGTGCTAGGCATGGGGAAAGAGAAAGATTTTGATAGAAGGGGTGAGGTTGGCAGGAAGAAAATGAAATGAGAAAAGGGATAAAATCAAGAACATACCTGGTGTTTTGGTGGAATATCAAGAGTCTAGTGTGTCTGTAGTTTCATCTCGTTGGAAGGATGAAGTTAATAAAAAAAGGAAATAAAGACGTTTGAGGCAGATTATGGAGGTCCTTGAATGTGATTCTATGAAATTAGCATTTTATTATTTTTCTTCTTCAGACAATGTTTTAAGTTCATTTGATATTAAAAAATAAAAATGTAAAATCATCCAGAGCTATAGTTTTTCACTTTCCAATTTCCCTTCCAATCCTTGCCCATAGGCATGCATACTTTTTATACAGTTGTAATTTTTATATAGCCATTTTTCCTGTTTAAATGTTTTATTTTATAATATAAGGATTATTTCATGTTGCCAAGATTATTCTAGATTTTTAAGTCTATGTGTACTTCTCTTTTTTCTGTGTTTGGGGAAGCTAACATGAACAGGGAACTACATATAGTCAGGAAGACCTGTTAGGAGACTCTTGTAGTAATACTGGTGAAAAATGATGAAGGCTTATGCCAAGTCAACAGTGAGAAGGATGATAGACCAAGAGAAGAGAGTAAGACTTCACCTGAATTCCAACTTACATTGGATAACATTTCATTAAGGTTCTCTTACTGATTATTTTTCCAGAAATAGTCATCAGTCAGATCATTTCAGATTCGGGTCACATGATGGTGACAGTTTGAAATGATCCATCAATTTCTCTGCTTGTGTTCAAAATACTATTTATCAAGCCTCCAGTCAGCCCCTTTAGCTAATTAACCTCTTGATATGAATTTTGCAATCAAGGCCTAATTAGAGCTTTCTTCCTTTTTCCATATGTTTTGTGCACCTTAGGGGAAGCTTCAGGGATATATGTGAAAAGTGTGATACCTGGCAGCGCTGCATACAACAATGGCCAAATTCAAGTGAATGACAAAATAGTTGCTGTAAGTAACTGCCCTCTGTTTTAGAATTGAATCAAGTTGGAGAAAAAAGTTATCTTTATTATAATATGTGTGAGAGGGGAATGGCTTAAATAGTCCCATAAAATTTTAAAAGTTAAATTTGTTACTTTAGTGAAATCGCTTTAATTTGTACTCTTATGATCCTAAATTTGATTTTTTTAAATTTTTTTTTTTACTATCTTTGAGTAAAAGAATCACTAACCATATTGGCAGGAAAAATTAATATGTACCTATGTATATTTTTAATATACACACATATATATTTGAAAGGTACTCTAGCATTCTCCTAGAAAACACTTTTCAAGCACCTCTTTGTGTTCTTTCAATTCACCCATTTTTTATAAAATTAATAGGCCATTTACCAAATCTTTTTATTTCTTTGTGAAAGTAGTTTTTCTGCTAACAGTAATTTTGTGTACCTGCAAAATTGAGATATTTTATATATTTGAGAATATAATAATTACCTTTTATCAATTCAGATTGGTCTTTCTTCCATTTAGTAGAAAATTAAATTTAATAATATTTGAAGCATATATACATACACACATATATACACTCATTTAATTTAGTGATTTACGATAGAAACAGATTTTTGTTTGTATAATTTGAATCTTTGTCCTTCAAGTCTATATAAGGAAGCACCTTTCATGACTCTTGGCTTTTACATTACTAGGCTTTGCAGAGTTTGGAGATCTGTAACAGCTGTGGATGCTATAGGGAAAATACTTATGAGGAAAGCAGAAGTAATGGTTTGTCAGGCTTCAAGAAGATTGAAGGAAGAGGTCTTTTGGTCCTGATGGACTTCAGAAATATGGAATTGGGCTTGACCTAGATTAGTAAATACCTTTCTTGCACATACTTTTACAGAACACTAGAAAACCTGATGGAGAGAGATCAGTGTGTTTCTTCTGGAAAATATCAAATTGATGTAGTAGAGGAATGAAATATTACATGACCTCTTTAATTTCGATAATAATGACTTCTATTAATATATCTTGAGAGCTATGTCTAACAATTTACTGTATTTTATGGCACTTTGAATTTTGAATATCATCAGAATTAGACCCTCTGCCTCTCTCAGCCTGTAAGTTAAATGTGTGACTTAGGAGCATTTGCTTTCTAGTTTCTCAGGAAGTTTGTCAGCATGTTTTACTATTTATTTTGCATCCTTATTCAAATACTTTCATAGGTCTAATACAAATTATTTTTGGAATAAAATGAATTGCCTAATTTTATTCTGCCTTGCCAGAATTTAAAATAACAGCTAACTTGAAACCTCTGTTTAATTTGTTTCAGGTCAATGGTGTGAATATTCAGGGTTTTGCCAATCAGGATGTTGTTGAAGTATTACGAAATGCGGGGCAAGTGTTACATCTAACCCTTGTTCGAAGGAAGACATCCTCATCAGCTTCTGTACTTGAACAGCCTTCAGACAGAGGTAATGGATTCCACTGTCCTTCTCCCCATCATGTAGTCTGGATTTAGAAATATAGCTCTGGAAGGTGCTCTGAGTCTGGGAAGGAAAAATGGCCCACCATGTGGAATGCACTAATGGAGAAATGAATCAGCTCATTTATGTATTGAAGGAGTTTCCTTTGCCTATTGCAATGTGCCAGTCCAAATGTTAGAACATGAACCCTAAAACTCATTAAGCTCTGAGAGCTTCTCTAAATGGAGATGGAAATCATTTTCCCAAAAAGCTTCAAATTTTCATTTATTACTTATATTTGAATAATAAAGCTTTTTGACACCCTTTGTTCCCAAAGCTCTCATTTGTCTAATGCTTTGACATTTTTCAGGCTTCATGTTTCATTTTACTTCCCATGATATATTTTATAATTTATCCTTTTTTTTTTAAAACACCTACAGCACCTGGTATTCCTAGGTCTCATGAGATTTGATTCTAATGTCTCTTGATTTACCTTTTAAAATATAGTGAGAGAAAATATGGATTTCTATCAATAATATTTTTATTTGTAAAATAATATTTGCTATTTTGATTATAATAGTATAAATTTTCATTATGGAACAAAAACATAATTGTATGCATATCAGTTTTTAATTATCAACTTAGAAATGTGTAGATTAACAAAATTTGACAGTCATGGGGACACATTTAATTTAAAATGGATGACTAGTTGTATAACTAGTGAGTAAGAAATAATTCCATTAGAGTTTATCAGAAGGTGAATACATTTTTTTCCCTTCCTCTGAAGATATAATAAGCCTAGAAACGTTTGCTCTCAACCAATATTGATTTGTATTTAAATTGGAACTTTTTAAGTTTTATGTGATGGTGGAAATTTTGCTGCTGAAAGACAGATGCCTTGTCAACTCCATTATATATATGAAATTTAAAATTGCTTAAATAGTACAAATTGTACAACTGCTATGTTGACCTTAAAAGGTTTGCATAAATATTTATGTCAGCATAATGGTTTTAATAGCTCTGATAGAGTCCTTGGCTTCAGTCTGCTATATCAAATGAAGTATGTCATTTATGAATTAGCAATTGTTTACTGGGCATGCCTACATTTTAAATTTGTATTGGGATAAGTTTTGACTCTAAATCTGCACCTCTTCCTTCAAGGTTTGGGTGTCCTTCCTCCGTGTTTCACTAGCACTCTTTGAAGAGCACTCTACTGTAGCATTTATCACACGCCATTCTAATCAGTTGTTTAATGTGCAGCCACTATAATGCAGGGGAATGGTTATGCCTTTGCCCTCTGCCCCGGGTAACATCTTTGTGTACCTTCCACAAAGTCAGCATTTAAGTCTGTTTTACAGAAACAAATCGTACAAATTCCAGCTCTTACACAATACCTTCCTCTGCCATTCTAAATCTTACTTTATCTCCTCTAGACTCCTACTTTTTGTATACCTTATATACACTTATTTGTGTACCTATTCGTGTACTATCTGCAGCACACAATCACATCACTGGACTGCTTTGTATGATAAACCCTGATGTGTAACTCTTCTCTCCGTTGATACTAGGAGCTTCTGGTTGGCATTTCTTTTATTGGCACTAGGCTGTATGTTTAGTGAGTATCAATTCATTAATGATCTAAAAAATTCTATGTATTGTTTAAAATCTCATGTTAAGATCATAGGAAATTTTAACTGGTTATGCTTTTCAACCTTTTATATAAAAAGTTTCAAACATACAGGAATATCAAAAAATAATATACCTAATACATTTAGATTCAGCAGTTATCTTTTTGCCATATTAGCTTCATCTGTGTATGTTTTTTTCCTGAACAATTAGAGTCAGTAGTAGGTAGCGTGACACTTTAGCCTACATATTTCAGTCTGTAGCTTCTTAACATAAGGATATTTTCTTAAACATAACATTATCACACCAAAGAAAATTAATAGTTAATTCCCTAATATCAAATACCCAACATGTACTTCAGTTTTCCCAATTGTCCTTAAATGTCTTTTATAGAAGCTAGATCTAAAGCTTTAGTTAGATTCAGATTAAATATTTTTTATAAGGGTTTAAATATTTTTTGTAAGAATACTTTTTATAAGTAATGTGTAATTTAAAAAAAATAACCTAAAAGGACTCTTGTTCACTTTTTTTGTGTTGAAGAGATACATAGTGTTTTGAATGCTTGAGATTTAAAGCTTTGGATGTCCTGTTGCTTTACTTAGCTCAATTTAGCTAAGAGAGCTGTGCAACCAGAGGAATTCTCTCCAATTCCCTTCCAATTCATAAGGTTACCTACATAGGTTGTTTGTTATATTCATGATGATGTCTTTCCAGAACCTAGGAAAGCCAAGGGCAATGGGACCGGTTTACTCTTCATGTCTCGCTCTTTCCACCACAGCAGCAAGAGTGTTCTTTTTCTTTTCCAAGGCTATAATAAAAAAGCATCTACTCCTGCTTTGATGTTGACTTCACCTTGCTTTTCTCTTCCCACTGCCTAGGTCCTTACTCTTTTCAATACTACCAAAAAGTTTACTTTTTAAGGAATTGATTGGTTATTGTACATGGGATTTTAAACAAAGGAATCATATATGTAAGTCACCTGAGATGTTTGTAATGCAGTTATGAAACAGGAGAATAGAAGTGGAATAAGCTCACTTAAATACGGTCTTTAGCTGCTAGTGATTCAAGTTAGCAATTCTTATTTCAGGAACTGTTATAGAACCACCAAAAACACCAGCCCTCTTTCTAACTGGAGCAGTGGAAACAGAAACTAATTTGGATGGTGAAGATGAAGAAACTGAAGAAAAAATGGATAATCTAAAAAATGACAACATACAAGCCTTAGAAAAACTGGGTAGGCACAAAGCATTTGATTCAAAATAATTTGACTTTCTCATTGTTAACTGTTTTCTTTCTTTATAGTCAGTGTAACGTGAGGTTGCTTTAGAGGTGTTATGGAGATATAAAATAGGGTATTCTAAATATCAACATCCTAACACATCGCAATTTGGGGACCAAGCATATTGTTGTTTAATCTTTGTTTGATTATATTAATTTTGAATGCATTTTTATTAATGTTATAACTTTTTTGATCTTGTCAGCATTTTTAATTACTACATACTTTAGCTTGTATATTATTGATATAGCTATAGATATATAGCTATCTGCATACATGTAATACATATAACAGTATCTCCTTTTCACCATAAAAATTAATAATGCATTCATCCCCTTCCTCCCCCAGGAAGCAATCAAATTATTTTCTAGTAGGATTTACACAACCTTAGTAGGCTGGAAGGATTTTTTTTTTTTTTTAGTTTCAAGTATACAGTACATTGGTTAGACATTTATATAGTTTATAAAACTATCTCCCTGATTACCTTTTCTCTCCTCTGGCTCTCCATCTAGCCGTTACATTGCTGCTGACTGCATTCGCTATGTTGTGCACCCCATCCTCGTGAACCTCCCTAATGCATCCTTTTTTTTATGTTTTATCAAACTCCTGAGTAGCTATATATTTTTCTTTTTTAATGATATGCAACTTTGTTTTTTTACTTTGTATTTTGATACCTTGGCTACTATAGTATGTTCTATAAGCATATTAAGAGCCTCCCACAATATCCTGCACAGAACTGCTCAGGAAAGCCTCACCAGTTGAATGAAATGGAATACTTAATACCATTCACATGCAGAGAAATTTTGGTTTTGGCTTTGCCTTCATTCAGGAAAGAATGGCCTGAAGGAAGGAGTAACCCCTCATTCAGGTTAAAAAATTTCCTGTGATTTAGAAATTTACCTTTTTTTTTTTTTGACCCAAGTAGATTTCAGTTAGTCTTTGCTATATAATTCTGGGGAACCCAGATAGACTTTCCGTGAACTATCAGGTAAAAATCAAATGTTTTATCTTCTTTTTTTGGATCAACCTCACTACAGTTTTCTTCATGAATGTGTATAACTTCAACTTGAGAGTAAGACCAAAATATTCTAACAGCTATGAAGTTAGCTTTTATGTATATATGTATGTATGTATGTATGTGTATGTATGTATGTATATGTATTTTTGCTGTAGGGGCAAAAACATTTTTCCTTCTTCCCTTCCAGATTTTTTAGCTGGTCTGAGAATTAAATCGGCATAACAGATTAACAGGAGAAAAATTTCGTATGTGTGGAAGTCCCATAAAAATATGAGACCCAAGGACAAATTGAGCAATTGAGACTTATATGCCATTCTGAGCCAAAGAATGGGACTAGGGACCTGGGGCTTCACGAATGAGGAGAATACTTCTCAGGATCATAAGAAGGGCAGATGTTTGGTAATTAGAAATTTGCCCTGCCATGCAAATAGGTCTTTCAGATAAAAAATGTTGTCTTTGGTAATAGCTCTTCTGGGGCCAGGCCTCCTTTCTAAATTCTTCTAGGTAAGGGAGAGGCAAAACTTTTTTCTGAGTCTGTTGGGTCTTGATTACCTTCAGTTTAAAATAATCCATATGTCAAAGTGACATATTTTGGGACAGTATAGTCTGCTCCCCTTCACTTCCATTGGAATAATTGTTTCAGATCATCATACAGTTCATTTTTTTGATCATTTTGTGTAGCCCAGGATTTATTGAGCTGCTGAAAATAAATTAATCTCTTTCCTCTAGTACTTAGGCCTTTGAGCTGTGCTTTAAATCTCATGACAACTTTCATTGTATAACTGAAAGGTAAAATATAGTCAAAAGAATCGAAGGTAAAATGTCGAAATTATTTTATACATGCGTATGAAATATCTTTAAATACCATGTTTTTAAGCTTACAGTTCAACCAGTTTATTGCAAATTTTGTTCAAATTAACTTACCAGATAAAAAACTGCTCTCTGGAAGAAATTTAACAGGCAAGATGGTAGACCTGTTACTGCAGTTTCTTGTGGAAACGTTAACAGGAGTAGGCACAAAGGTGCCCACCTGAATGATATTTTGGTTTTAATAGGACCTTTCATTAGTTATTCCTGAAATGTTATCTAGCATATAATTATTTCATGGATATTCTTTTGTATATCTAGTAATTTAAACTTTTTGGTGTTCATTAGTCTCTGATTTCTGAGTTTAGCATGTTTTACTTCATTATTATGTAATTAGGTTTTATGTATTAAATTATAATGTATTAAGTTGTTATGTTATGTAACTAAGCATTATATGCATTCAAGATGAGCTGTCTGTGCTGAAGACTAAAAGCTGATACTGCAAGTTGTGTTTGATTTGAGACAGATGGTGATGTCAGTTGTGATAGGTGTTCTGTGACTTGTTCGATTTTTTAACAAAATTGGGAGTTTTTCTTCTACTTAAAGGAAAAAGTTAGAGATTTGATTATTTTCTGCTATGACTATAGATATAAATTGAAATTATAGTCTTAGTACTTTCACTTTTGCCTATTAGGCATTATTAAGACTACACACTGTGTACTAAGCTTCTGGCTAAGATTATATGGAGGACAGGCAGGACACTTAAAATCTGTCTTAGCTCTTTAAAATTATCTTGCCTATGCAAAAAAGGCGATATTGCTGTCAAGTAGAAAAATCTTAAGTATATAATAACAAAGTAGCCACAAAAGACCAAAGTAAAACCAAAGTCTCTGTTTTATTAAAGCTCATCCACCCACTGGTTGAATTAAACCAGACATGCTTGCCTTTATGTCCACCAAAGAGAAAAGTCTGAATGGACTGCATTGATATATGCCTAGTTGATAGTAAAGATAGCTTGATAAGTTCTTACTTTTCCCATGGGTGAGTGGAGGTACCACTTTGAAGTGATTAACATTTAAATTAAATCCTTGTTTATTCTAACATATTACAAAGCTAAGCCAGATGCATTTTACTTGTAAACTACAGGATGTTTATATATAAACCGTATATAATTCAAATTTCATTTAAAACTCATCATTCCTCTTCCCTTTTCAATATTCCTTAGTACCAAAGGCCCTTTCATAATATGGTAACAGCCAGCCTTTACATTTTACATTAGCCTTAGAAGTCACCTGTGATTTACTTTACCTAGTAGACTTAAGTTAATGCATTTTCCTTTTCATTTATTTCCCTTTTACTTGCTGAAACTGCTGTTTTTGAACAATTTAATAGTTAAGTGTATTTGGCTCACAGTAGCTTTGACTTTTTCTTTTTAAATCCAGAAAGAGCCACAGACTCTCCAGAAAATGAGCTGAAATCCAGATGGGAAAAGCTATTGGGTCCTGATTATGAAGTAATGGTATGTTAAAATCTTCAAATAAAAAACACTCATGTCTCATTTCATGTCAAGCCCTTAACACTACAATTTAAAGGAATGGGAGAATTAAAGAGTAGCCAGCCTGCCTTTATTTTTCCCTCCTGCCTTTCTTTCCTGTTAAATCAATCAATTGATTTTTTTTAAAGCATTTAAACTATAAGAACAATTAAGGACTGAACACAAGTTTTAGTTACAATTAGCAGACAGTTCACGTTGAAACTATTTAAGTCAACAACAGGCAGAAAAATGTTGGGAGAAAGAGGGCTTGCCTTTAAATTTATAACCTGTATCAGCTGCTTAAAATTGCTGGCATTTTTACGATTGCTTTTATGATCTGTTTGTTTTATTGTACACTGAAAAGGCTGTGGATATTAGTTCTATGTTTCACAAAGAATCTTACAGTTTTATGAGAAAAATGAAAGAATGATTATCAAATGTATTTGGGAGAACAGGAAGTAATTTAGGTTAGGTATAAGTTTATAGTGCTAGTGGTCCATTAGACTGCCTTTCACCTGTTATTAGATTCATTGAGTAGGGGATTGATTACATTTCCCCATATGAATCCACATGAAAGCAGAAAACTGTACTTAGAAAATCCTCTACAGTGTTCACTAAATGCTTTAGTAATAAAATATTCTATTAAATTTCTATTGTCATTCACGGTTTCTTACATATGTTTGTCATTAGTACTTGTTAGCTGGTTGCATATTTTTTTCTCTTCTTGGTTCAGAATGTATAGCCACTATCTATTGTCCAGAATTTTCCAGTGTCATTAAGATGCGTCAAAAGTTTACTTTCTCTTGCTAATTTTTTACCTAGATGTCAGCTTTTGTGAACTATTGCTTCTTTACTTCATAGATTTTGAATGCTGTTTTTGTCATTAGGCTATCACCTAGCAAATGACTTATTCTATTACCTTTAATGGTTTGATATTCAAAGTGATTTGGTGTATCAATATTTATAAATGGCCAGTTTTGTGATGGGCTATTTTTTTGTTAAAATTTTATCCTCCATATAACTACCTTTCCAAATTTCATTGATCACATGTAGAAGTAATAACAGAGGGGCTAGAAAGAGGGGACAGAATTAGAAGTTGGAAATTGGAAGTGACAGCTTATTCATTAAGAGTTGTAACTTGTTGTTCTGAGGGATGAGAAGCAGAAAAGAGAAGCCAGGCAAGGTGAGTGCACTCCAAAGTTTCTTATTTATTTTCTTCCAGAGTCTACTTATCTGAAGTGCAGTACTTTTAAAAGCTTTAGTTGGATCACTGTTCAACTTATCTCCTCCAGATGTGTCATATTTTATTAACAAACAGATGCAAATGATCAATATTTTGCTTGCAAGCCATTCACTTCTGTGGATATCCACTATTGTAACACAATAGTTTTAGGCCAGGATTAAAAAGCTTAAGTATTCCATGAGCTTCCCACCAGTCCAGACCTTTCTGTTTGTCTCTGTGCCAACTATTGCTCCTAGGGAAATGGTTTGAGCTTGCTATGGAAAGTCACACTCTTCAGTTTTTCTATACTTGTCTGACTTTAATGACCTTGTAAACTTTGTTTTAAGGACTAAATTTAAAAGTAAAAATAACCCCCACAGTTAACATCATACTCAATGGGGAAAAGCTAAAAGTATTTTCCTTAAGATCAGGAACAAGACAAGATATCCACTATCACCACTTTTATTCAACATAGTATTGGAAGTCCTAGCCACAGCAATTATACAAGAAAAAGAAAAGGCATCTAAATTGAAAAGGAAGAAGTAAAGTTGTCATTATTTGCAGATGACATGATACTATATGTAGAGAACCCTAAAGTTGCCATCAAAAAACTGTTAAAACTGATAACGTGAATTCAGTAAAGTAGCAAGATGAAAATTAATATTCAGAAATCAGTTGCATTCTTATACACCAATAATGAACTATCAAAAAGAGAAATTAAGAAATTAAGAAAATAATTCCATTTACAATTGCATCAAAAAACAAAAACAAAAAAAACCCACCTAGGGATAAATTTAACCAAGAAGGTAAAAGATCTTTAGTCAGAAAAGTATGTCACTGTAGAAATTGAAGATACAAATAAATGGAAGCATATATTATGCTCATGGTTAGAAAGAATTAACATTGTTAAAATGTTCATTACCCAAAGAAACCTATAGATTCAATGCAATGCTATCAAAATACCAATGACATTTTTCATAGAACTAGAACAAATAATCCTAAAATTTATATGGAACCATAAAAGACCCTGAATAGCCATGGCAATCTTGAGAAAGAAGAATAGAGTCAGAGGTATCATTCCACTTGATACAAAACTATACTGCAAGGCTGTAGTAATCAAAATAGCATGGTACTGGCATAAAAACAGCCATATAGATCAATGGAACAGCAATGAACCCATGCCTATGTGGTCATTTAATCTATGACAAATACCATATGATTTCATTTACATGTAGAATCTAAAGAACAAAATAAATGAAAAGCCAAAGAAATAGACTCATAGAGAACAAACTGGTGATTGCCAGATGGGAGGGGTATTGAGAGGCTGCATGAAAAAGGTGAAGGGATTAAGAAGTACAAGTTGGTAGTTATAAAATAGTCATGGGGATGTGAAATAAAGCATAGAAAATATAGCTGATAATATTGTAATAACTATGTATAGTGCCAGGTGGGTGCTAGACTTATTGGGCTGATCACTTCTTAAATTATATAAATGTCTAATTACGACCATACCCGTGGTTTTGTCAAAAGAATAAAATGTTTATGAATTCATTATAATAGAAGATTATATTAAAATTTTAGGGATTATGGATTTTTAAAATTATATATATATTTGCCTATCACTTTCTGGTTCAATTTTTGAATAATTTAAGGAAAAAGATTGCTGTGGAAAGTAGTAACAAAAAAGCAAATATTCTGAAATTTTACATTGTTTTGCTTATGAAGTTAAAAAATATAGAAAGAAATTAGAATGCAGGTCAGATGTCAGTGCAACATATAGGTTTTACAGATTATTTTCAGGAAACCTAGGAAGAAATAAAGTTATTTTTTAAAAATATTAAAAATATTTTTTCTTGTAAATTTAGGTTGCTACTTTGGACACACAGATTGCAGATGATGCTGAGTTACAGAAATATTCAAAGGTAAGCATTGTTTTAAAAGGTATTACCAGTTTTTTTTTGTTTTTGGAAGAACTTAGTCTTTAAGTTCTTGTTGAAGAAACTAAATTAGTGCTGTAACCTAAAGTTTCCAGAATTTAGTCTTAGCTGTTTTCTGGAAATGTGGTGAGGTCTCACTTATGAAAGGTGATGGTTAGATGTGCCTGGGAAGAATGTGGCATCGCTTGTACTACTTCCTAGAAGCCAAAACTCAGGTTTGAATGTTTGCCCACCTTAAAGGTAGTACACAAGAGTAACACTGTGTAAAGTGTGTGTTAGCTTTTCAGATATTATAAGAAGACCTTTTAAAATGTTTCCTAAAAATCAAGACCACAAATATGGACTTTAAAAATTCTTCAAGTCCAGATGTTTAAAGACAGAAAAGTGGTTTATTTTCTGAGTATAGGGAATGTTTTTTCTTTAATTTAAAAAGTTTTATATCGAAAGCTTTATTTCTAATGGCAAAATGCTGGAAGGTAACTTTTATGGTTTTCCCCAACATTTTTAGTGTCCTCTCACTACAAATTAATTTTATGGTTCCTATTCTGGATAATCAAAAGCCAGGTTAACGGAAATGTAGAGAAGACTTCTAGGTGGCTTTCTCAACAAATGATGAGAAAGGTAAGGTTTTCTTGTCAGAATAGTTTCAAAAATGATACAATATTTCCACATGGGGTATATGAGCTGAGCCCAACTTAAACTCTTCTGTCACATGTGTGTGTTATGAGCTGTTGAGTCAGCTCTTGGAGACTCTATGAATGAGTAATGTCCACAATGTCCTATCTTCAGCACCCTCGCTCAGTTCCTGTACATCCTGCCTGTGGCTTCTTTTATGGAGTCATTCCATTTCATGTTTGTTCTTCTTCTTTTCCTGCTGCTTCTGTTTTTCCTAGCGTTATTGTCTTTACCAAAGACGCCAGCCTTCTCATAATGTCCTCGGAGCATGACAACTTCAGTTATGTCATTTTTGCCTCAAGCGATGTTTCAGGTTTAATTTGTTCTAGGACCCACTTGTTCATCTTTCTGGTGGTCCAGGGTATTTATATAAATCAATATTTTTCCTATCAGTCTTCTTCACTGTTCAACTTTCATGTCAATACATAGTAATTGAGAATACAAGGGTATGGATAATCTTAGCCTTGGTCTCTAACGACACATCTCCGCTCTTGGTGATCTTTCTTAATTCTTCCAATGTTGCCCTTCCAAGTCTCAGCCTTCTATTGATTTCTCGGCTACAGTCTCCATTTAATTGATGACTGAACCAAGATAAACATAATCTTTAACAATTTCAATGTCTTCACTGTTTATGTGAAAGTTGTGTATTTCTTCTGTAGTCATGATTTTTGGCTTCTAAATGTTCAAATGCAGTCCTGCTTTGGCACTTTTTTCTTTTGCTTTCATTTGAAGTCATTTCAATCATTACTACTTTATGCCAGTAAGACGGCATCATCTGCATATCTTAAGTTATTAAATTTCTTTAAACAATTTTCCTTTTTCCTTCCTGAGTCTTGCCCAGTTTTTCATATAGTATGTTCTGCATATGGATTAAACTAATAAATAGGGAGACGAAATGCACCCTCGTCAGACATGTTTGCCTATATGGAACCGTTCTGTCTCTTCATATTGTGTTCTGACGGTGCCTTCCTGCCACTCTCGGTTACACTTCAGGTCAGTCGATTGCTGACGCACACCCATTTCTTTCAGAGCAACCTGTAGCCCTTCATGATCCATGCTGTTGAAGAAAGGCTTCACCGTACCCAGCAAACGCTTGCTATTAGGTCTCGAGTACCTCTCCCTTTTCTGAATCCAGCATGACCATCTGGCATTTCTTGCTCCACATAAGGTGGAAGTCTTTGTTGCCTCACCTTGAGCATCGCGGTACTTGCATGGGAAATCTGCAGTTACTACACTCCTTGGCATCTCCTTTCTTGAGGATTGGGATGTATAGTGTACATTTCCAGGCTGTAGGCCATTGTTTTATTTTCCATATTTGTTGACATAGTCTTGTTAGGATTATGACAGATTCAGTCTCTGCAGCTTGAAATAATTCTGTTGGTATCTCATCTACCCTTTGTGATTTCTTTCTTTCATTATTTATTTATTTCATGCTCTCACATGCAGTATTCAAAATGAGTTTTCTGTATCGCATGTGGGTTTTATAAAAAGCGATTTCTTTAGATCTACCATTTCCTTCTTTGAGTATTTGTGATGAATATTTCTCTTCCATAATTTTATATATGCTATTATTTTATAGGTTTGAATTTTTTTTATTTTTCCTAAGCAGAAGTTGCTTTAATCAAGGCGCGAAGTCCTCAATCAGGTGGACCTCACTCAACCTTTGGTGGTGGGCTCTCAGCCTATCCCCGCCACATGCCCTGAGGCCCCTCAGGAAGGAGGGAGCAGCTGAACAGCAAATATTGGAGAGGTCAGGAAAATGGGGGAACTATTTGACATGGGGGAGACTATTTCTTTCCTTCTGAGCTAACCTGCATTTTGAGTCACTTCCTTCTTGTGCCTCTGTGGGCCAGCTGACCAAGTTTTCTTCAGATGGGCAATATGAAAGCAACATGGCACATCTTTTAGTTAGTTTTAAATTATTTACAGAATCAGCTTTTTATTAGATTAGAGTTGTCATTAATTGATAATTCCATCTAAATATATTGAGAGGGATTTAATTCAAAACAAGAGTAAGAAATATAAATACCTCACCACATTTTGGTTATTGTTAATAACTGCAGTATAGTTTACTCATTATATTGACTGGAACCAAACTGCCTGAGTTCAAATTCTGCTTATCCACCCACTAACTTGTAAAATTATCTAAACTCTATGTCTCAGTTTTGTTGTTTGTAAAAGGGAGATAGTAATAAATTAGAAACCACCTCATGCGTGCTATGGAAATTAAATAGAATGTGCTTAGAATAGTTGCAAGCACATAGTAGGCTGTTATTAATTATTCATGTAAATTAATGATGTTTTTTTCTAAAATTGTACTTTATACTAAACTCTTAGATATTGGGTGCCTTCTATTTACCTGTTTTCTAGTTTACTAAATTTCATATTCTGATTCTGCTGCTAAAGCCCATTATTGAGTGCTTAATTTTAGTAATTGTAGTTTTCTATTCTAAAATTTCTGTTTTATTCCTTTTTAGATTATAATCTTTTTAGGAGAGTTCTCAATTTAAAAAATTTTGTATTTGCCATCTTTTTCTCTATTTCTTGAACATATTAATCATAGTTTATAGGGACTTTATAAATAATTCCATTATATGGATCAACTTTAGATGTGTTTCTATAGTTCGATATTTTCTCTCGTTCTGGTTATTTGGTTATATCTCTCATCATATCGTAATTTGAATGAATGCTAGACATTGTGTATGCCAACTGCAAAAGGCTTTGGATGATGTTATCTCTCCAATAAGGAGATAGAATGTGTGCATGCGTGTATGTGTTAGGCGGGGCAGGGTTGGGGCTGGGAGTGGTGATCATTTCTGAGACAAGGCAGAGGTTCAGTCCTGGTAAGGTTCTGATGTCCTCTGTTTGCCTTTGCTGTTAACTTATAGCCTTCCAAGTGTTCCACATGAGTCCCTCTTCCTGGTGAGACCTGAACTCCATTTCTATCTCCTCAGTATTTGGGGGCTGCTGAAATCTTTGCTTTGTCCTTCAGAGGTTTCCTGCTTAGCTTTTTAGCCTCCCTCCCAATATAGCTTTAGAAGTCAAGAGAAGTCCTTGGGGGAGAATATGCCTTACTTAGCTCAGGCTCAGTTCATTGAATTTTAATTGTCCATCCTTCCATGTTCAGAGCTGTAAGGCCTTGTATCATCATATTCTATAATAAGTAAAAAGATAATAACCACACTTTGTATGCATCTTAATGTCATTGTCTTTTTCCAGGCAGAAGATATTCTCTCCCACCTTTATTCCCTAGTTTCTTGCCACCAATCTTACTAATTTTATATTTCCAGATCAATTTCTATTCTATGATATACATATATATGTATGTGTATTTCATACTCAGTAATTGTAGTGTAAAGATGTGGAAAGGCTTTGAGTTGAACAGACTTTCAGAACCACCTTATAGAAACTCAGCTTATTCAGCTATTCATTCATTCATTATTTATTTATTCATTCATTCACTCATCAAATATTTTTAATGTCTACTCTGTGCTAGGTCCTCTACTAGGTGCTGGGGTTAGAGAAGAGAATAAAGCAGAAAAAAATCTCTGCCTTTTAGAACTTATATTTTAGTGGGCAGAGATAGAAAATAAGTAAGTTATATAGTATTGGTAATATGTGCCATGCACAATATCAAGGCAGGGAAGATGGATAAGGATTTCAGGAGAGTGTGAGTTTGCATTTTTAGATAGATTGACCAGGAAAGATCTCATACAGAAGATGACATGTGGGGAAACACTTTAGGAGGTGAAATAGCAGCCTGATTTTTCTTCTACATTATATGAACAATTATTATACCTATGTCATAGATGATTAAATATATATATTTACTATATGCTTTAATTAATACAGCTCAGTGCCAATATGTAAGAATTGTTCAATAGATGGTAGTTTTGTTTCCCAGTTGTATGCTTCGTATACTTTTAGTTTCTAACCTTTTAAAGGCACCTTTTTAAAGGCTATTTTTACAAGCTATTGTGAAACGTTAAATGATTTAATTGAAATTTTGTCGTGACAAAAAATTTTTTTTCTTTGCGGTGGAAGAAAAAGACTAACCCATAATTGCACTATTCTCTTTTCATATTTAGTAGTTGCCTGTATATATTTACATATTTGTAGACGGTATACTATACCATCTTTTTGTGTAATATATGTATGAGAGAAGGGATGTATAATTTTTCCGCATAACATTATCATACATATTTACTTTTTTACATTGATTTCTCAGTTATAAATGTCCATAGATTATTTCTTTATTTTAATGAATTAAAATTTTTAAAAAATCCCCTTAAAATTGGAAATTTAGTTAA